GGCTTCAAGAAAACCAGAAAGCTATAACACGAGGGGAAGTGAAAAAAAAAGGCGTGGCGGAACACATATGGAGAGAGAAGGAATATCACTGCCCTCTGTGGGATCATGTTGACATCATAGACAAAGAACACCATTGGAAAATTCGTAAACTCAAGGAATCAGCACATATGCTAGGCCACAAAAATCTCCTGGGCCGACCAAGCATAGAAATGAATACAATATGGGAACCAGTAATAAGGAGTGCCAGAGAAAAGCGATAATAACAAAAAAATGCAGTATGATCTCTGGTAAAAACATGGAATGATAACAGCAAAATATTGCAATATGAGCACTGGTAAAAAATGATTGCTGAAGACATTAGGTTTATATTACCCAGAAATGCATACACAAGGACACATGGCACAGTGGATAAAGGCGTTGGTTACATCCCGAGACAGGACTCAAAGAGTATGAGTTCAATATCCGGTTAAGGCAGTGGAGAACTTTCAGAGGGAAATTAACAGGAGATACCTGATAACAAACATCCATTAAACAAGGCTACCCCAGTGAGCGAAATAAAGGGTTAAGTTCGACATTCCAACAACCAGAAGAAGACCGCAACATTGTAATAAATATGACGACAAAGATGAAGACTATAGTCCGAATAATTTAAAAAATGTACATAATACCTCATCTCAGAAATATAGATAGAAATGTCACTTATGTTGTCATATTTGTATAATATTCTTGTATGGATTAATAACAACAGAATACTAAATACATAATGAGTAAAATAACCGCGAATGGGTTTGTAGCTTTGGGGGTTTTCTCCGAACGTGTATTCTTCTTTTCACGACAATATAAGCCACTGCCTTTTTTCGATTTAGACCATCTAGTATTTCCTGGCATGAATCATACACCACACATTAAGCGTTTTGTAATAGTTCGAGTGGTTAGAACGTTCGTATTCTGACCAGGAGACGCGGGTTCGAATCTCGCCATGGTCGATTTATCAGGAAGGAGACTTCCTGATGTTATCCGACTGGAGGGGCCGATCCCAGCGTTCAGCACCTTTTGGAAAGAATCTGAAAAACCATACCACAGGTTGACCCAAAACTTGTGATTGAAACTGGGTAAACGGAACCCTTGGGGGCCGTCGATAGCTGTGCCAGCCCGAAGTCACAAGTCATCGTGGCCGAGGGCTTGAGCATGCTGGCCTTGTTCAAGATCACGCTAGATGACACGCTCATTCCCAGAAACTGTAACTATAAAGCACAGGTGGGCTCTGTGGATGTGGATTAAACACAAATGCGCCTGAGCAAACGTCTGCAATAGGGTTGGCAGTAGGTTGCCATTTCTTCTGTTTGCCAACCAAGGCGAAAGAACCCAGTCTGTCCTGCTAATAGACCCATAGCTGGGAGGAGAGGAGATGGATGAACGTGAATGTAACGAACTCGACTGGAATTTGAACTTGGCTCTCCAATTTCTCACTCCGCGCCGATTTCCATTACACCACCCACACATCCTAATATTAATATTAACATTTAGTAGTCTTTTAACTTGAGAGGTTCTTGAGACTTATTATAAAACAATTCGAGCCGATTTCGAATCGGAGAGCCGAGTTCGAATTCCAGTCGTATCTATTACATTGACACACACACACATACACACACACACACACACACACACACGCACAAACACACACACACACACACATATATATGTATATATATACTACATTTATACAAAATAATAATGGAATCTCGCGTCGATTTCGATGTATGAGGATCGGACAGCTTAATTGATTTAGAAGCACAATTTTGTGCGATAATCTTAAGTGGCACCTAAGACCCGCTAGTGATTTACAAAGGAGGCCTCATATGGAGCAAGAGTAAGGATTGTGAGATGAGATCACTGTTAGATTGACTTACCTTTTAGATCTTGCTCTTGCTTCTTGAAGATGATTCAGACAAGCAGATTGAAAACTGCTTAATCTACTAAAACAAGTTGATCTCCATTCTACCTGCTCCAAGGCTAAGCGCTCATGGGTGTTATGTGATATATATATATATATATATATATATATATATATATATATATATATATATATACATTTACACTATATATATATATATATATATATATATAGTATATATATATATATCAAGTATGTGGTGCAGTTCAATTTACATTACATGAATCAATCATATATATATATATATATATATATCTGTTTTTTGTATGAATGATTCATGTAATATATATATATATATATGTGTGTGGGGGGGGGGGAGAGGAAGATAGAGAGAAATAGAGAAAGAGAGTGAGAGAGAGAGAGTGAGAGAGAAAGAAACAGAGTGAAAGAGGGGCAGGTGCGGTTGAGTAGTGGATAGCGGCTCGGAGAGGCTTTGAGAAATGTGGAACTCCAGTTCGAATTACGTTCGGATCCATTATATTGACACACACACACACGCACACTCACTCGCACACACACACACACATGTATATATATATATATATATATATATATATATATAGAGAGAGAGAGAGAGAAAGAGAGATGAAGTGAGAGAGAGAGAGAGAGAGAGAAATGAAGTGAGAGAGAGAGAGGCAGGCGCGGTGGAGTAATGATGGATAACAGCTCGGAGAGGCTTTGAGGAGTATGGAACTCCAGTTCGAATTGAGTTCGAATTCTGGTCATTACATTCAATTAGGTTTTAATAGACTTGGGAAAGGTATGAATCCTCTTCTTCTCCCTTCAGATGTGGATAAGTAACAGGACAGACTGGGTTCTTCAGTGGAAACCGGTCTAGAAGTAAAATTTCAAAACCGGCCTGGAGAGGGTTGGGCTCCGTCAAGTAATCTTACCCAAGACACACAACTCCTACTCTGGCTGCACGGTGGTCACCGGATAAAAAAGTTAGTTCATGACAATTTATATTGTCATAAATCGTATAAATTCGGTTAGATTATAATACACCCCCAACTAGGCTAGATTACACCTATTTCTTTACCCCGTGTAACAAGATGCATATTATTTTATCCACGTATTCCGTGTCGTCTCTGGATCCTCACGTTTCTACATAAAACGGCATCAACGAAAAGGACCATTTCTTCTTATTCGTTCTATTAAGAGTGGCAACTTGAAGTCTAAAAGGCAGTAGAAGGAATGACGTCACAGGAACGCGTGTCGCACGTTGAATCAGCGTCCTTCCGCGGGTCGCCTAAATCGATCTCTAACCTAGGTATTGGAGGCGTATAGACGCTTCAGAATTTTTGTGACCTTTTTTTTTTGAATTCGCGCTGTTTTGGACTTATATCGAAATACCCAGACAAATGCAATCCATCATTGTCAGAATACACCACCCACGAGGGCAATGGCAGCACATTCTGGCGCTGGCCATGGTATTCTGTAATACTATGGATTAAGCTGTGTGCCACGTCTGCAGAGTTCTTGTGTGTATATCCAATAGATACAAATTTTATTCCGATTTCATATTTTACACAGTTGTAATCCTAACTTCTCGATGCCAATTGGTTTGGGACAGCTATTGAATGAGTTCTATATCAGCCATTATTACCAGTTTGGTAGACTGGAGCCATAAGATAATATTCTTGTTAAGAAACTGTTGTAGAGTAGTTTCACAGTGGAGGCTTGTATTTCACTCAGTCGGTCCTAAAAAGGTTCGACGTAGGAACTTGATATAATACTTAAGGATGCAGCAATCTAGTTGTGGTGGCTGATACTTTAATGTCCGACATCGACTGACTGAGCAACTCCCTGAGCTCACTGGCGACTGCTACTACTACTTATTATAGGTTGGAGAGTCTATAAACTATAGAATAGGTGTGTTCCAGCACAACAGAAACCCAGCTATTGAAATCGCTAATAAAAGTTGCTACAAACAAGACTTGGGAAGGGTAGACTAGGCGATGTTATCGCCAAAAAATTCTTACATTCTAAAAATATCTACTGAGTTTAAATAACCTGGAAATGGTTGATAAGTCGTAAAAATATGACAAATCAATCAGTCAGTCTATAGAATTGGCAAAACATGGATTTCCTCGATGGAAAAAAAACAATATGAGTTCGATCCCTATAGGCCGGTTGACATTAATTTCACTTTTGAAAAAATGTCTGCTCAAACGCAAGCACTTAGGAAATATGACGTGTATCTATAATATAGGATTAAAAGATCAATTAAGTGCTTAATTTATTTTTGTTTTGAATATCTGTTTATTTACCTATCTCTGTCTGTTCATATCTATCTATCTATCTATCGCAGTCTTTTTCTTTCTTTCTATCTCATTCTTTTTATATCTATCTATCTATCTATCTATCATAGTCTTCTTATATGTATCTATTTCAGGCTTTTTATAACTATCTATCTATTTATCTGTCTGTCTATCGTAGTCTTTTTCTGTCTATCTCAGTCTTATATCTATCTATCTATCTATCTATATATATATATATAGTTTCGCAATGCTCGTTGCTGTAGAGACTTTATAATCCCAGATACAACTATAGTAACGCCGTTGAGCAATACTGGTGTCAGACGCCTTTGAATAACACTCGACCTCGATAATACTCGCTCGAATAGTAACCCCCAAATAATGATCCGAATAGAGAATATTATAGAGAAGAGAATGGAGAATAGCGATCCGAATAGTAATAGAGGATAGAGCAGAAATAACGATCCGAATAGTAATAGAGGATAGAGCAGAAATAGCGATCCGAATAGTAATAGAGGATAGAGCAGAAATAGCGATCCGAATAGTAATAGAGGATAGAGCAGAAATAGCGATCCGAATAGTAATAGAGGATAGAATGTTAGATGCGATCATTCAGACATCACTCGACTTCCTACTATGGTCACATGTTCTACTTAATTCAATAATGGGATCGCCAGTGTTTGCTCACTGGCGATCTATGTTCAAACTCAAGTGTCGGTATCGACGCTTTATTCCTTTACAGCAATAATGACTTCCAACCAGTTCCCCTTACCTTTATATATCACACCTCATTCCTTATTACTCTTCTCTGGGGATCTCTGTAAGGGATTAAGCCAATCCTTTCTAAGCCCCGATAACAGGGCAGAGGTTTTGCAAGTGTTGCTTGAACTACTGAGGATAATTTTTATTACTGCATGCATGAAAAAGCAGAGTATAAGTCTGTTTGTTTGGTTTTGTTTAGCGGCATATCAACATCTGTATGGGTCATTTAATGTCGAAATCTAATTAATCTGAGCACAATTTTATGGCTTTAACAAAATATATTTTGAACGCAGTTCTGTAATTTCAACTACAAATAAAATGTATTGCTGGTCATTTTGCTTTAAAATGTATTGCTGGTCATTATATATATATATATATATATATATATATATATATATATATATATATATATATGTGTGTGTGTGTATTACCAGTATTTTTGTTATAAAAATGCATTTATATACTTTCATAGTTTTTTTTTGTTTTTTTTTCTGTCAATATTTTTGAAATGAGGTATTGTAAAATATTTACATTATTTACATTGTTCGAATGTTTTCTTATCCTTCTCATCATATTCACGACATTTCGGCGGTTGTACGCTCCGGCCTTCTTCAGGAGATTGGAATTTCAAACTGACCCTTTTATTTCGTCCACCCGGTTACATTGTTCTTGTTCTACATTCCTTGCCTCTTTCCGTATGAGTTATTCCCGTTTTAACTCAACTCTGCAATTTTTTTTTGTTCAAACTTGAGCTCACAACTCTTTGGCCCAAGCCACTGGATTCAAGCAACTGTTTTATCCAGTGGGCCATGTGTCCCTGAGGTCATCAGTGTATGAATTTTTGGGACTAATGTTTCAATACTTATTTTTTTTTTACCAGTGCTCATATTACAATATTACAATTTTGTTGTTGTTGTTGTTGTTGTTTGTCTCTAGCCACCCCACCCCCCGTATTACTGTTTCCCATTCATTTCTATGATCGGCCAGCTCAGATGATTTTCGTGGTCTAGCATATACGCTGTCTCCTTAAGTTTTCGTATTTTCCAATTATGTTCTCTGCCTATTATTTCAATCTCATCCCACAGCGGGTGCTGATCTACTTTTCCCCCTCATTTTTCTATTTCCCCTCCTGTTACAGCTTTACGGTATTCCTGAAGTTTTATCTTAAGGGGTCGGCCTGTTTATTCTTTATATTTCATACCGCAGCTACATGGGATGGGTACACGCAGTCGTTACTCATCTTCCCCTCTATGGCACGTCTTATTCAGAAGAGGTGTCTACGAAGTGTTGAACCACTTTTGAAGATCGTCTCCATAATCCATTCACATAGGTAGATAAAGATCTGTCCTAAGTTTTGTTATCCTCTTGTACCATTCTATCCCAATTTGTTGAAGCTGCTGTTACGTACCCAGGGTAGCTGTTACGTTGTAGGGTACTACATATAATATTTCTTGTTCTTTTTCTTTGGGTCGTCACATGACTTTTACTCGATATTGTAGGCAGCGGACGATGAATTTCTTTACACTGTATGGGCGGTGGGAGTCGATGTTGATGTATTGTCCAATGAATGTTGGCTTGCGGTATATGGATATCTTGAAGCAATGCTCTGTTATCTATTAGTAGATCCAAGAATGCTAGTCTGTTGGTTTTTTTTTATCTCTCAATTGTGAACTGTATCGACGATCTTATTGAGTTCACATGGTTCAGCAGTAGCTGGACCACTTCCTGGTGCAGCCAGAGAAGGAAGGTGTCATCTGCATATCTCAGCCATAGAGTCGGATTTGGTGATGTGGATTCTAATGCCATTTCTTTGAAATATTCCATGTATATGTTAGCCATTGTTGGTGATAGTGGCGAGCCCATTGCTATGCCTTCATCCTGCCGATATATATCTGATCTCATTCTAAAGTATGTTGACTGTGTGCAGAAATCTATTGGTATAATGGTCCGTTCTTCAATGAATAAATCCGAGGCCTGTCTCCTCCTGACTACCGATAGTGGCCCCCCCGCGGGTACCTTGATGAACAAACTCATCGCGTCCAGGCTGACCATCTGGTTGGATTGGATGGGAGCATCTTTGATTATTTCCACGAAGTGGGGGATTTTGGATATATGTGGCGACTTTCCTATTAATGGGTCACTTATATCCACACGAAAGCGACAAGGGTGGCACATAGAGCCTTGGCAGCTAACACTTGACCTGAGCAGAATAGCGTCATTGGGGATTTTGGGAGCGATCGTATATGTGAGGTAGATTGCCATAACATTTTGACAACTGCCTGGTAGGAAGTAGCCCTTGTTCTTGATTAGCATCTGTGGCAGTTTTCGTTCTACTTTCATTGTTGGAAATTTCTTTACTCTAGCTAGCATTTTTTATGAGATCTTCCAGTTTTCCAGTATATACCTTTTTGTCTATCATTACAGTCACATATTGCCTTTGTCTGCTGGTAGTATGGTGATATCATTCTTCTATAAGGTTTTAACTGCCGGCTTCTTCAGCTTTGTTATGTTTAATTTGGGCAGCTTGGCTTTCTCCGGTATCTGTCTCACTTTCCATCTTAACTTAAATCAAACATCACACACACACACACACACACACACACACACACACACATATATATATATATATATATATATATATATATATATAGTTTATGCAAACTTAGGTAATCTGTATGGGTCGACCTTCCAATCGACTGTTTCATAGAAAATACCCAAAACTCCACCGAATTTCAAATTAATTTCTTCGTAGATTGTTTTAACATTTAGATATTTATCAAAACTTAACCTCCCAAATATGCACGTTAATGTAACGCGAATTAACAGCGTCTAAGAATTTGAATGAAACCTGTCGTGTAATTGATTGGGGTTGTTGTAACTTCTTCCTTTAATGTCGGTCTTCTCCCTCACCCCTTAGCCATCTATATCTAGAGACGAGACGCGTTAAATTTGAGCAACATCTAGCCGACACACTGGGGTTAAAAATAGGAAACTGAAATGATACATATGACACACTCATATCCTCTCTCCCACCTCACTCCCTCACTTCGTTAATTTTACGTATACTTGATGAGGTCCGTCAAAAACGTGTGAATTTCTTTTCATTTTTCATTTCAGCTTTTGGAAGTAAAGTTTGATGATCCAGAACCCAGTTAAAGGGGTTATGGTGAAATAGCTTATTACATGGAATCTTAACGTGGTCTGTCTTTTATTCAAATATATATATATATATACATATATATATATATATATATATATACAGATAGATAGATAGATAGATAGATAGATAGATATGAACAGATAGTGATAGATAGATAGATATGAACAGATTGAGATAGATAGATATATAGATAGATAGATAGATAGATAGAATCTGAGAATAGATAGATATGAACAGATTGTGATAGATAGATAGATAGATAGATAGATAGATATGAGCAGTATAAGTCAGGTAGATATGAGCAGTCAGACATAGATAGATAGATAGATAGATAGATAGATATGGGAAAAAAGAAATTGGAAAAAGGTTTCACACTGAAACACACACACAGACACATATGTATACAATTAGATGCTCCATACTTTAGGCCTTGTGTCCCATCAAAGCCGCACTGAGAGAATCACCATATATGTACACGCGCACGTGCATGTGTGTGTGTGTGTGAGTTCGTATACCAATTGAAAAATTACCGGTATTTTCATTTGTCACTATCAAATGAGTTCATTACGAAAGTAAATATATATATATATATATATATATATATAAATATATATATATATATATATATATATATATATATATATATATATATATGTATGTATTGTTCATGTGTTATAGTTTAATTGCCTAAAGAAATAATTGCTGTCTCGAAAAAGTAATTCCGGCTAGAAGAATCTGGCGATGAAAATCGTGATTGATCATCCGTTATTGCTTTTGTCTGTGTCTTCTTTGAAAAGCACCGACGACTCACCGCGACAACTGTGGGGAAACAGAAATAAAAAAAAATAAATAAAGAAGAATCATTTGGAAAACCAAATCAATATTTCATCTGTGAATCACAGACAACGCTCGGAAGGCAGGAGAGTGCATTTAGTTTAAGAGATGTGACTGAAAGAACAAAGATGAAGATACTTGTTTAAATAATAGATTAATGAGAATGCATTATCGCAGAACTTCAAATAATACTCAGAATACTATACATTTTTAAAAATCTAGATACATAGATAGATAGATAGATAGATAGATAGATAGATAGATAGATAGATAGATAACCAACCGACTGAGATAGATAGATAGATAGATAGATAGATAGATATAGGCAGTATGGACATACGAATAAACATGGCATGGTGACTGTCATTATCACGCTTCCATTTTTAACCATTCAGATTTGAGTGTAAATATATGCATATATAAATAGCCAAGCCCCAAAATAACACACATGGCCTAACGATTATCCACTCACACACACACACACACACACACACACACACACATATATATATATATATATTTAATCATACAACAGGAATTAATATTACATTAGGTTAATGATCATTTTCAGAAAATTGTAAATTGAAATAAAACTTAGAAGGATTTTTCAAACCAGTCAATGGATGATAAATTATTGAAAAACATTGACCATTAACCGAATGTAATCTTAATTCCTGCTGTATGATTATATATATATATATATATATATATATATATATATATATATATATATATATCCAAGTATATAATTGGTGTATATATATACCCAAGTATATAATTGGTGTATAGACACCGAGGGTGTTGAAACAAAATGGCTATTTTTGTAGTGATTTTATAACATATTTATGTTATAATTTTTTTTAAAATTATTATATATATATATATATATATATATAATTTTTAATATATCAAAAAATTTTGCATTAACAATGCGTTTGCCTCTAAATGTCTATTTACCTGTATAATCGCAGGATTTATTGAATCTAGACCTTTTCAAAATATTTTACCAAAATAATCAATATGTTTCCATTATATTGAGGACGCTCTATTAAGAAATCCCCGCATAAGTATTTTACCTGACCTTGGAGATAAATTAAAGTCGAACGTACGAGAGTATTCACTCACGAAAGAGAAACACTAATGCATTACAATTCTCAGATTTCACGTTACATCGTAATGAAAATAGCCTAAGGCTAAGTGTCAATCGTAAATAAACTAATAAAAATGATCTCATAAATTTATATTCTCACCATAACAACAAAATAACATCCCGAAAAATTATTGGTTTCTGTTTCAGAGCACTCAAAATGTATATCCCTCAGTATTTACATGAAGAGAAATGCATTGAAAATACTTTTAATACATACCCTAGCTATTTCATATTCAACGCGAAAGAAAATACTCTTAAAATATTTTAAAATAGAAGAGTGGACCATTCTGAAAAACCCACCGAATCAAAATATATTGTTCTGCCCAAAATATATATATATATATATATATATATATATATATATATATTAAAGAAGTTAATAGTTAAGAGTCGGAGTATAATTATATGTCATCATTTATGCTAGAAAGCCTTAGAAATTCTACATAACTAGCTAACAATGCGTGAAAATTAAAGGAGAAAATAAAAAAAAAGATCTGATTGTAAATCAAAATATTTTAAAACAATGCTAAAACTTATAACAATCATAGCAACATTTCCAGGTTTTGTCAAGAAAAGAAATTAGCTATAATAACAATTCCAGACGAAAAAAAAAGACTTTTAAACCAGAGATTGGAAATTATGTCCCGTTGTATTTATACTAAAAAGTTTCTTTCGAGTTCATTTGAAGTGAGATAAAAAGAACATATATATATATATTTCATTTCATCCCTCACCGATACATTTCCAATACACTTGATTTTCCATTCCTCCTCCTCCTCCTCCTCCTAACCTTCTACCACATTTCATGTCGAGCGCTTATTCTTTTATTTATATTTTAAAAAATATAGCGTTCATAAATTTGTTATTCTTTTTAAAAAATAAAGCGTTACGAAGTCAATTGATCGAAATAGGCTGAAAATAACTGTTATGGGACCTACCTTTATGGACTAAATGGACTCGTCCTATAACAATATTATGCCTCTCAAGGGGGACTGTCTACAGTTCACTACGGTTGACTTCTGTCGAACTTTCTGCTTTGGCAGAGAGAAACCCGAACGAAGCTTTGCCGAAGGGCAAAGTTTCGTCCGGGGAAGTAGACAGGCCCTGAACCCGTCTAGGCAGGTTCAAAGGGTATATTTTTTGGCCGTGCCTACGGGCTCGGAGACACCCACATTAAACTCGACCTTGTGCCAAATACAATCCTCGTGGGGGCATCGTTAAATATTGTTGACAAGTTGACTACGGTTGACTACGTGTACGTCTTCTGTCGAACTCTCTGCTCCCGACGAAACTTTGCCCTTCGGAGGCCCTGAACCCGCCTAGGCGGGTTCAAAGGGTATATTTTTTGGCCGAGCCTACGGGCTCGGAGAAATCCCCATTAAACCCGGCCTTGTGCCACATACATTCCTCGTGGGGGGATCGTTAAATATTGTTGACGAATTGACTACTGTACTTTGCCGTCAGTCGGACGTGCAACCCTTTTGTATTCGTTCTTTTTTTTTTAATAATGTTTTCACTAAATTGCTGAGTTCGAGTTTTCTTTCGGACCTATTCTGGGTCCACGACAATAACGAAAGTGTGAAACCAAAGTAGCAGAATCGTCTGATTTCCTACTTGCCTATACATAATATATATATATATATATATATATATATATATATATATGCGTGTGTGTGTGTGTTTGTCTATTTAGACAGTACTGTTTAATCCAAGTTTTGATAAAATTCCGCCGATAAGGTCTATTTATTTTCTTATTTTATTTTTCCAGTTTTCGAATAAGATGAATATCATGGTAAAAATAATAGGAACGTCATGAATAGGTCAAAGAAGATGAGGACAATAGTCTGAAAGACCTAAATATTTTATTTAATGTTGTTTTATTTGTTTTTTTCCTTGGTGTAATGTAGGGAAGGTTACTGAATAGAAGAATCACACGAAGGTTGGTAATGAACGATAATACTTAGGACAAGAACAACACATATAAGATTCGCCAGCGGCGCGAAGAAGAAGTAGTCAACTGCTAGAAGTGAGTCAAGTGAATACCACAATGAATCTTCAAATGCGGGATATATACCAGCCGCACAAGGCCGAATTTAATGTGGGGTATCCGAGTCCGTAGGCTCAGACAAAATTTCCCCGTAGACCCGTATAAAACGGTGTCAGGTAGCAGTTTCCCGATACCAGACCTTGCCCTTCGACACAGCCTCGTCTGGGGATCCTTTCTGTTCGGAGGCAGAAAGTTTTACCAGCACAGCTGGAGACGAATCTCCAACTGCAGGATATCTATCAAACGCCCCAGTCGGTCAAATGTGGCTCAAAGCCGAATTCAATGTGGGTTATCCGACCCCATAGTCACGGCGTAAATTTCCCTGTAGACCCCGTATAAAACGGTGTCAGGTAGTTGTTTCCAGATACAAGACTCTGCCCTTCGACACAGCCTCGTCTGGGGATCCTTTCTGTCTGGGCGCAGAAAGTTTGACCAGGACTGCTGGAGACGAATCTCAAACTGCAGGATATCTACCAACCGCCCACTCGGTCAAATGTGGTACAAGGTCGATGTGGGGTATCTGAGCCCATAGGCTCGGCCAAAAATTCCCCACAGACCCCTTATAAAACGGGGTCGGGTAGCTGTTTTTCGAAACGATACACTTCCCTTCGACATAGTTTCGTCTGGGGATCCTCTCTGCCCAGAGGCAGAGTTTGTCCAGCACAGCTGAAGACGAATCTCCAGCTGCAGACTAACATACAGTATTTACTACTGCATTTATGTGAATGGGGACATTCCCATTATCATACGTATGTATACTACAGCAATCATAATGACTTCTGTAATTTAGAATCTTTATCTATTAAAATGTGTTTTATGTCACCAGTATTTTGTCTGTTTGTTGATTAATATCTGGCCGAATTCCACTAAATGCAAGTTAACCGATAAGATAGTGTGGTACATTTATGGCCAATGTAAGTATTTAATTTTGTGTTTTGATTATTAGTATTGAAGACACGACCTCCCAAATGATATCAGAATTCAAAAACAATATTTTTTTTTTTTATATAGGGTGGATTTTTTTTAGGAAATGAGTTAAGGTAATATTATTTAGAAATTAAAAAAAAAACATTATATATATATATATATATATATATATAGCATAAAAATAAGCAGTTGTATTTAGGTCATGAAGGTGACACGAAGATTTCAGAACATGTGGCCGGGGATTACTCGCAAATATTACAACCCCTCCTTTTCACACAGATTACGTACTGTAACAACTAGCAGCTTGTTTTGCAAAGGCGACAGTAATCTTTTATTTGCAAATTAGTCTAAGGAATACTCTCAACCATTTGCCTGCACCTCGGCAAATTTACTACCCGGTTTCTATGTTTTCTTTCTTAGAATATGTTATATTTACTTGATAAGTAAATATACTGATGATTGGCAAAGATTAACAAAACTTTGGTCGGCTGCACAAACATGCTTTTTTTTTTAATTGAGTGCACCGCAAGTAAGGTGTTAAAGTCACTAAGATACAAGAGGTTACTGGATGTGGAAGAATTCGAAGCAGAAATATTACAAAAGAGCAAGAATAAAAGAAGATAATCAGGAATACAGTAGACAGCGAGTGACAATGCATTTAAATTTTTGAAGATTAAATTTGGTTGGAAAGTATGGAACCAGAAGAGAGTTCCACAAGCGAGAAGTGCGAGAAAAGAAACTGTCAGCATGGAGCTTACGGCTACATCTAGTCAGGTCAACTGGAAATTGATGAGATCTTGACGCCAGTGTAGTACTGCGCTTAAATTTAAAAAATGTTAGGCACCATAGCGAAGAACGATATTTATTTCCGCCTCAATACAGAAAATGTGGCACAAGGCAAAAAAATGAGGAAAAGGATGGTCTTCTGTCTTAACTTTAAACTTAGCTATCCACAAACACTGACCCAAACATACCGCAATATTCCTAACACCAAAACAATACATTCTTACTTACCTTTCTTACTACATCTACCATAATACCTCATTGTCTCTATAACGATATTTTCCTATCTCTTGATACTTTACTTAGTTTCTGAAAGGCATTTTAGTTACTCCTCTGAGACTTCGTATTTCTGTCAGATTTCCGTCATTCGTTACTAAACTACCCTGGCGATGGAATTTCTTTACCTGTTTGATTTTAACGGCGTTACGAATTAGTTCAGATATTCCAGTTTAA